AGCCAGTTATCAAGTCAACTCCTGAAGTCTGGTCCATAGATCTCTCAGAGAGAAAGTCCTCCATCCTCCTGGAAGTGCTGAAACTCCAATCAGAGAAGAAAGTAGTGTATCTGACAGGCTGCTCAGATGAAGAGAGTGAAGTGAGGACGTTCCTGCAGTGTCTGCCTTATATCTTACACCTCAGGTAAATGACTTGTACTTTACATGATTCACTCTATACAAGCAGAATTCCGAAAGTTTATTGTACTGTTTTAAATATTCTTGTGATATTTCTTTGTCATCAGTATTCAACTTTTGCATTTTAGCTTTATTCAATGGGCATAATATTCCAGTTATATATTTATATCTGCCCCATTTCAGAGAAAAACACTGCTCATTTTACAATAGGTAGGTAGGTGCAGTATTTTCAGGTTCTTACTTACATCTTGTTTTAAACAACTCTCATGTTTTTAGTCGACTGAACAGCACTAAGATAATGTTGAGAGAATTTAGTAAAGGTCACTGACTCATTAAATTTAGCTAAAAGAAGAATGGGAAAACTTTTTTTTTTTTTTTTTATGTTAAATATTTAACTGCAACACTTTGAAACCTGTGGCAATCATCTGACTGAAAGAGAATAATGAAATAAAATAAGATAATGATGTGAATCATAATAATGCTGTATCTCTGTGACAATATGGCAGCCATGTTAATACCTCCCCAATAAAAAATACAACATACACAAATTAATCATCTTTAAATTAAATGTGTATAATTATTTTTCATATGTAAGGAGCTAAAATAATAACAATTTAATCATCTATAAATGCACAGATACAATGGGTATCATTTCTATGTGTGGTTGTATTTGTGCAGCTGAGATCAAATCATCACAAAATATTTTCTTTTGCAGTTTTTCCTTTCAGAAATCAAGTCTTGATGAAGAAACCAGTTTCTTGGGGAATCTGTTCTGTGCAGCAGCAGAGAGAGAACAACAGACAGGAGAGAAGATACTGGAGCTGCTATCATCAGCGTGCAATGATCTAACATTATCTTTAAGTGACATGTACATAGATGGCCTTGACGATGATACCATGGAAGATGAGTGTAATTCCCTGATGGACATGTTCTCCCATGTGAAGAACTGTGAAACTAAAACAGGTTTGAGTGTCCTTCCATCATTACAGCCAGTTTTCCAGTCAAATCCTGCAGTCTGGTTCATAGATCTATCAGAGAGAAAGACCTCCATCCTCCTGGAAGTGCTGAAACTCCAATCAGAGACAAAGAAAAAAATTAAACTGACAGGCTGCTCAGATGAAGAGAGTGAAGTGAGGAGTTTCCTGCAGTGTCTGCCTTATATCTCACAGCTAAGGTAAATAGCTTTACTATACACGAGTCACTCTATACAAGAAGAAATCCATAGACTTCTAATGTTATTGTACTGTTCTAAAATGGTCTTTTTCATGATTTATGTTTTCTGTCCTCTAATTTGAGTGGTTCTGAGTACAGATTAAAACGTAGCAAATTTTATACCAGAATTTATGAAAATGGTTTTAATCTTTTTGATGAAAAACAACCATCACAAGTTTTTCAGTCTGCATAATTTCAGTTTCGTGCCTCAGTTACCAGAGCCTTTAGAAGACACCAGGTTCTTTGGGTATCAATTCAGTTCTAATGTTATTGTGCTGTTGTAAATATTTCTGTGATATTTCCTTGTCATCAGGATTACATTACTACAGTGTGACTGTATTCACATGAGGTCATGTTTCAGTTATATTTTATCTTTGCCCCATTTCAGAGGAACACAATGTACTCTTTACACCACTGTATTTGTTTAGTTAATTTTTGCTTTCAAATCTGAGATTTCAATACATGTACGATAAGTTTATAAGAACAAGATACCAACTCAAGTGCTCATATTTGATGTTGAGTT